GGTGGCCCAAAAACACACTTTTCAGGCATACAGCATATGTTGGTAAATAACCTATAATTTTGCGAGAAAACAATATAACTTTAGTAAAGTATATTAGGCATGTGTTTTCGCTGCATATTGTCCCGCTGTTATTTGAACTGTATATCAATGCGTCATAGTTCGTTTTGTGCTACATAAAGTAACACATATTAACTGTTACATTGTTTTTGCCGTTTTTCGACCATTGTCCAAGCCGCCTTCCAAAAGTCGTTTTATTGTGTCTCGGTTTCACCATTTTACTGTTTTATCCCACCTTTCTATTTGATTTTTGGACTGCTTAATCATGTCATGGTGAACGAACGTATGTCACATAATTCTGCCAAAAAGTAAACACTCGAACAGGCCGCCCATGATGTCAGTGAGGCTGGCCCATCGCAAATAAGAGGTTGCGAAGTAGTGCTTTTAGATCCACTAGCAAATGCTCTGCAACAGGTTTGTGTTCTCGCAAGCCAGGTTAGCTCGCTGAAAGAACAGTTTACATCTATTGCGTTGCTAATAACCAAAGTCGTGCCTTTGCTCAATCTGGACAACATCTAGATTTTGGCTAGCCAACCTGATATGATAACTGCAGGTGAAATAATAATTAACTACGCACGAGGTCAGTGAACGCATTCGTCGTGCCAATAACGCGGTAATATTCAACGTACTTGGCAAGCCACCGTTTAAAAAGGTGTTGCGTTCCTTTCGTAATGATTGTAGGCTACCACATGACTGCTGTTCAGTAACGCGCCTACGTAAGATCTCCGGACGATCTTGTCCAATAGTCATGAAATTTAGTAGCCCCAGCTGGCTAAACGATTTGTTGACGCTCGATATGATCTGAATCAGCATTTGAACCTCGGGCAAATTCTGCTAAAACCGGACAGAACACCACTGCAAAGATCAACTTTGTCTACTAATTCAATTTCTCAGAAGAAAGAAACTCGTGTGACACCATTCACAGAGTCTCAATTTACAAATGCTGAAGAAAATGCAACCCACACCGCCTCTTCCTCGATGATGTGCGACGATTAGCTGGATTATTTATAGCGCCTAACAGACCCCGATGCAAAATTCCCTTAAAATGCAAACAGCCAAAATATGTCATTTCCAGTCCTTACCATTATCCGAAAACTCGACAGAATACAGTACACCGCCTGGTGATATATCTGATTTGGGAGACGTAGACTCTGAACTTGAGATTGTGGACTTTCTATCAGTATTTACTCCATTAGCTAGCGTTGTCAATGACCCCACGCAACTCTCCAACGACACGACGCAAGCGACAAGCAACTCAAAGCAACGGTGTTTCACAGCTCACACACATCAGTTCCCATCGAATCCATACCAGTACAGCCATAGGACTACACCCAGACGTTCCGATATAGCTAAAGCATACTCATTGCCAGTAACAGAAACACCACGCCACCAGATGGCTCGCTCGCACACCTCGGGACCTGCACTTCCCCTTCTTGGACCGAAGTCTATTGTCATCCAAACTCAGTCGCATCGTAGGAACTACCTACTCAATACCTCAAATCCAATAAAACACTTCCGGATTTGCTACAAACCCCGCTACCCAACCGACCGCGTCAAGCCCAAACCTTCGCAACTACATCCGGTGACTATTACACCTACTGCTCCGATTTATCGAGCGTTACACGGGCTTGTTGCTCCGACCAGATACGGTCAGCCATACAAAAACCACATCTACTCGAACCAATAAATGAAACTGTCTAAACTCAAACTTACCATTATCAGTTCAAAACATAAGGATATGTAGCGCCCAGTCAAAGACGACAGCCTGCTGCTGCTGTCAACTCGGCATCCAGTATGAATACCATAGCTTCTTATAATTCGACTAATCGCTCTCACATATCAGGACTTCTGCAGAATGTCAGGTCACCTAGAAGTGCCGCACCTACTGCAGCCCCTTTTCTATCGAATACAACAGGGCATGGTCCACCACACCCAGTTCTCCAATAGCTCGCACCTGCTTTATATCACTCACAGAGACTGATTCATGCACTGCAGCCAACTCAACACGGCTGGTTCTAGCCCTGCGATTAACACCTATGGACCTCAAACCAGCAACTGACCCGTCGACGGCCGCGTGCTATCAATGTAACACTCCGCCGCCCTCGGGACACATATCCGCGGCACTTAAATCAGGTATCCAACACATCCTTGCAAATACCTTAGTCATCACCAATGACCTTTCACACAATCACGAACCTGTCTCTTCTGCGTCGTTACAGCATGGTAACCAAACGAACTCACTCCTACAACCCGACATGACCTATGCTAACGCGGACCCGGACACTGCTATCTCTGCTACCATGAATTGCACACTGACCGCAAACTCAGCTGTGTAACACAACGACTCATATAAAGTTTTTCTCATAAACACGCGATCAATCAAGCATAAAATGCATCTTCTAGGACCTCTCATTCTGCAGTCTAGTCCGCATGTAGTATTTCTTACAGAAATTTGGCACCCACCTTGTAAAGCCCAAAAGGAACTTTGATATATTCCCAACCTCTATTGCTTACATGAGGACACGGTATCTCAATTCCCTAATTAGCTTGCTCATTTACACTGCTTTGCTATGCCCTACAAGAAGTTAACATATCGTATATTTATTCCATTCACTCGATCACTGACACATCCTTGACGTTTTGAGGTCCTTCAAAATATAATGTTACTGTGACATTACCCAAATACTCGCTACGCCCCATGCTGTACTGTTTCTGCCCAATTCAGTGCGATTGCAAAGTCTAGTTGTAAGTCATTTACTGTTTTTAATATGCCTTATAGAAAAACGGTTACAGGATAATTTGTTTTATTCTTCTTATAAGACCTAGCGTTAAGCCTAGGTTTATTTGTTCGTAGTTCCTAGTTTAGTTTTCGTGCGACATAGTTTAGTCTCAGTATCGTTTGTACACACCTGATGCCTCTGATGCGCTGCTGCACGTTTCAGATTACAATAATTTCCCGCAATGGACATATCAATCAACAAGGAGGCGGCTCAGTTATTCACGTCAACAATCAATTCCATGAACCAACTTTCCTAGCTATTTTCGTTGGTAACCCAGAATAAGCGAAACCTAATTCGCTGTCTAACCACAAGGGCCCACAGGATCTGTTCTGAAGACAAGTTGGATAATGAGTTGACGTTCATTCAGGATTTGCTGCGCGAAAACAGATATCCTGATCGTTTCATTTTTAAGAACATGCAAAATAAGCCCGACCATTTGCAGGTTCAGACAGCAGAGAAAAAAGAACTTTTCATACTACTACCCTTCAAGGGAGACTCCGCTGCTGAACGTGTAACTAGAAGCCTTTAAACAGCTGTCAAGTCAACTATTCCAGCAGCCAAGCTTAGGTGTACCTTTTCCACGGAACCACTCATCCGTATTTACAACAAAGACAAGTTACCGACGCTGACCGCTTCCATGATAATTTATCAGTTCGCGTGTGTAGGTGGCACTACGTACATCGGTCGAACTGTGCGGTAACTGTCGAGGCGCATTAAGGAGCACCTACCACGCTGGTTACGTCGAGACGGTAGTGGAGCCATAACTAGCTCAGTTATGGCTCATCTTGTTGATAGTAGGCATGAGGTTAACCTAGTCAGTGCCTTTCGATTACTATACAGGGTCCCTACACTCCAGTTGAAAGGCTTGCGCCTCCGCACACTTGCTACTGCCGAGGCGATCAGCAATCGGTTGTATCAACCGCGTTTGTGTGCAAAAAGGAAGCTGATCGAAGCTGTTAAGCTACCTTGGCCAGCCAAAAGGATCCTTCTGACAGCAACTGCAATTGTGCAGCTGTGCTTCTGCCCTAGTTTGCTGTTTGTTACCGGTTCACGCCTTTGGTCGGCACGTGATCAATCTCATTTGAACTGATCGTTAATCCACTTGTACGCCCATTGCTATTTCACCCATATGATTGTACAGATATGAAGATGAATCATCGAAAACAATCGTTTACCTTCGATCTTTTGTTCCAGAATATTCCGTTTGGATTTAATCCTTTAGAGGCCAGCTCAACCTCTTAATCGGGTGTGTATAACCATTCTAGTTCCCCATATTCTATGATAACCGATCTGGTAAAGCTTTTTCATGAAGCATCATTCGTGCCAGCACTCTATAAGATAATTGGCCGAGATTTCAAAATGCCCAATATTCCATGGCTTGGGCAGTCCACATCTTCCAGATATAGGACTTACGTTGACACTGTTTTTACACATGATTGGAATCAACATGTGCAAGCTCCCACGAGGCAGTGCGCCGGGGTCTCATCCGGTGGCTAGCTGGGCCATACTGTCACAGCTACCCGTAGAGCAGCGAGCGCGTGGTGCCTGGATGACTGGAGTAAAAGCGCAAGGTAGGTGGCTACTCCAGCCAGCTAGAAGCGAAATGGAAAGTAATAGCGAGGAGGAAATGACGTACACCATAAAGACTACGCTGGACGACAACGTACTTGTTGACCTGCTATCGCGACACTGACGCGCTACAACAAAGTGGTTTTAAGCATGTTTGCATCGTTTAAATTTTTTGTTATTGGCGGCCTTTCGTTGGCAACAAATTCTTCGTAGGAATACGAGGTTCGTGGTATTCACAGAGGGCTGGATTTAACTTATCAATAATGGACATAGCACTAACATATAAAAATACAAAAAGAATACGTAAAATATGGTTAAAAGATGTTATCGAAATTGTTTTCTTTTCAAAGTCAGGTGCTGTTGCGGACAACACAGTGCATGAAATAGGAAAATTGAGACTTGAATTAGGTTATTTAGGATAATATAACGATTATCTTTAACAATACTATAGAGCACGTGTACCATTTCTGGTTTACAGATGCTATAACTTGGTCACCGCTATTGTAATCTCATATCCCGCAATTATTTTCCCGGTTGTACTATAAAACTGAAATCCATCGTTTCGCCCCTCTGTTACCACCATAATCCGGGTAGATGGGAGATCAGGACTACTATGCGGTTCTTGGTATTTCCAAAGACGCTTCAGTGGATGATATCAAAAAGGCTTATCGCCGCCTGGCTCTGAAGTGGCATCCAGACAAAAATCCAACTCGAAAGGAAGAGGCTGAGCGTCGGTTCAAGATCGTTGGTGAGGCTTATGAAGTCCTCTCAGATCCTTCTAAGCGGAGCATTTATGATAAATATGGCAAGGATGGTCTTGTTAATGGTCCTCCGCATGCCCACGGTGCGTATGGAGCAGGTTTCGATCCATTTAACATGTTTCCGTTTGGGTTTCATTTCAGGGACCCTATGGATATTTTCAGGGAAGTATTTGGCGGCGCTGGCATAGAGAGTCTTTTTGGACCTGGCTTCTTCGTTGACATGGACCCCATGCATGTACACAATCGGGCACATCGTGCACCCAATCATCGAACTGCTGGAAGACATGCAGGAAGCCCCTACCACCATGCTGGACACCATAATAGGTCAGGTCCCCCCCGCTCAGATCTAGCAGTTCCTTCTGAACATGGCTTTATGGGTGGTATATTTGACTTGTTTGGTGGCTCTATGATGCAGCCGTTTGACATGTTTGGGTCCCTCGGAACAGGTACTTCTATGAGCAGCTCTTCAACATCGGTCTTCGGAAATTTCGGTGGTGGTGGGGGTGGTGGATTCCGATCTGTCTCCACTTCCTCTCGAACTGTCAACGGGAAAACTGTTAGGGTCACGAAAGTTGTAGAGAACGGAACCGAGACTATCACCGAGGAGGTCGATGGCCAAGTCACTAACCGTACAACCCGCCCTCGAGGTGGCGGTGCACTTCAAGCCATGTGATCTGAACATAGTGACACATCTTACGTCGCGGACTCGTTCATTCTATTTTCACGACCACTTCTGTACAGCTCCCCATCTCCATGTGGTTTTCGTTTGAACTCTCCGCATTTCCGTTTGCCACATTACGATTGATCATTAAATTAGACTGTGGACACCCGCGTTTTAACTTCTGCTTACCAAGTATACCTGGTGTTAGAGCCCGTAAACTGATCCTCAGAATGTTTACTGAGACCCATCAGCTTGTGTCTTCGTGTTATCTCCCTTTGTCAGTTAAATAGTATATCTGGCGGTAATCCATGCATTGTTTACTCTTCATGTTGCTAGTGCTCGTTATCTGATTGCTCGCTCCTGTCTTGGTATTTATGGTCACTTGTGAAGGCGTTCTGTTGTGACAGCTATTCCGCTCCCTTGACGTTATTTGCCTCCTTTACTGGTGAGCGGTTACTTTAACAATTTAAATTGCCTGACCGTTTCACCAGCTATGTTCACTGTTTTAACCATCAAATATCGTACCGCTTGCACTAAATCTGCATGATACACGTCTGTCATCTTGTTTCCTGCTGGACGGCGACCACAAGTCTGACTGACTCAGGTCCCCGGTTCGGGCACACGCAGGTACGGGTGACTGCAATATCCATGATCGTCGCGATTGCTTATGGTCTCATGGCACCAAAGCCTCGATACGACAACGCGGTGTTATCGATGCCTTCCTACCTTGACTACTCTTTCGGATACCGTCCGACGTATGCCTTATTTCAACAAAACCTCTAACTCTGATCTGATTTTAACGTTTCTTTTGTCTGGAAGATAAAGCAGTATTTGTCATTGGTCAGTGTACATGCGCACATATATGGTCAGATCAGATTTTCAGGGTAGAAACAGGTCTTCGTCTAACGAGCGTCCCGTTCCGTGTGCCGGTAAGCAAGCTAGGACCCAACACTTTGATCTTCAGGCTTTACTTCTGCAGAGACAAAAAACCATGAAACCATTCGTGACATCCTTTTTGTACTAATTGCAATCCAACAATCTCAGTACATTTCCGGAAACAGAATTTACGAATTCATATCTAGGCCACTTTTGAAGGCTTCTATATTAGTACCTTTCACTAGTGCAGGGGAAAGTGAATTCCAACTACGTACTACGCGGTTAGTGAAAAATTTTGCCCGGATTTCCAGTCGGCCTATGCGTCATGAGCTTCAGATAGTGTCCTCTCAGGTGGTCCGACGTTGCTAGTTCAAGGAGATCAGTAGGCTTAATGCCACTGAGACCCTTCATAATCTTAAACGTTTCTATCAGGTCTCCCCTTAGTCTGCCTCGTTCCAATGATAACAAGCCTAAACAATCCAGGCCGTCAACATACGACTTCTGACGCTGGCCTCCAATCATCCCGGTGATCAGTCCACCTCTAAGCAAGCGACATCTTTCGTAAGTAAGGTGCCCAAGCTTGAACACAATACTCTATGTGCCTCCAAACCACCGCTTTGTACAATGGGAGTAAGACAGGTTTATTATGGCACAATGCTCTTCTGAGGCAAAAGTTCCTGCCACGCTCTCTTAGCAGCATATTGGCGCTGCTCCAAATGCCTGAAGCTGTCTACCATAACCATGCCCAAGTACCTCGCCTTATCTACACACTGCAATATCAGAGACCCTGTGGATGTCTGCATCGTAGTCCCAACGTTACTGGATGGTAACAGCTGACATTTGTTCGCGTTCATTTGCAAGTCCCATGATTCAGACCCTTTTTCCAGAGTGCCCAGGTCTTTAGACAATGTATTCTTATCTCCCATGCTGACAAGCTTTACTTCGCGACATATTGACAAATTAGACTGGTGCTGGCCACAACCCTAATCATTTCACATCCTCACTTTGGTAACAATGTTTATCTAAACTTTCCCAGTTAACAGTTGGAAACCGGCCGCCTGAAGATGCCTCCACAGTGTCTTAATCAGAGCCTAATGATGGATAAACGAAACGGACCAAAAGAATGTCATCTAGTCCAGAAGCCTTACTTTTTTTCGCACTTCGAGATAATTTCAAATCCATTCTGAGGTGAGTGACGTTACATCAGCTTCCCACGTGTGTTCAACTATCAGTAGGCCGCAGATGGCAGTAGGTCTACTGAACTTTTCAAATGCTCCGCAGAACGAGAATGGGTCAATTATTCATGCTTCGCAGCTATCCCATATGCGGACGGATTCTTGGACCCGTGCATCGGGTAGATTTCAGCAGCGCCTGGCTGTTACTACCATCATTGGTTTTTTCAATCTCAGGAGCAACAAGTTTTTGTCTTTCGCTCTCTATTCTCAGTACTCAGAGGCCCTTGCCATTCACTAAAGTCTGCGTACTTCGATAACACTGATCGACACTTCCAGAATTCTTTGAAGGTTTGGACGTCCCAACTTTAGCGAAGCAAAAGTTTCAAAATTATACTTCATGTCGCATCTGAGACGATTCCCATCGGTTTTAACTCACCAACCATTTGTCAATGTCAAATGTTGGGTCTGTTCGTCGTGACGTTTCCTATGTACAGCTGCAAAGCTTCAAACTTGTGCCATTTGTCGAAGCCAGTAGAGAGTGCCATTTATGTCTACACATGCCTATCTTGACCGACAGTCTTGAATCTATGCACCCGCCTGTGGTCTGCCTTGTAACCCGGAAGTCGCGGATGCAAGCCTGTTTAATGGACTGGGCGATCCTCGCACTATCCTTAGCCCACACACGACCGTTGGCAGTTGCGTAGCAATGAATCGTTGATACTGCTTACTGGTGTACAGCTGATGGCTTCTTGAACCGATGTGCGTCATCTGTATCAGATGGCAATATGGTCAGTTTCACTCTGGATCATCGAAAGATTGCTCCGCGCGATGTGGCAGTTCTGCCATCATAAAGAACGTGATCAACATATGCTTGAAGTGGTCGATCGCTATCGTCTGGTGTGCATCGACTCCTAAATGCCTTCCTAGATGTTGTTTAGAGTCCGACAGTCGACCCAGCAGCTATATTGTTCGCGATAGTAGCATTATCCGCCATGCGCATACCAAATCGAACTCACTGATGGAACGCGTTTTGATACTGTCCGTGATACAGTCGGTTTGAGCATACGCCGAAGGATGAAAAGGCGACTTGTTTCCAGTTGGTGCTCGTTAGCTCCAAGAGAAGTTGGAACTCGATTTGCATTCATGCGGCTGTTCACTGATACACAGTCGAGTAAATTGACTTCAGCATGTTTGCTGAGAGCAATGCCGACACCACAAAAAACTTAAGTCAACGACTCGGTATCGCTTGCAACGTGAAAAGTACCATCATTGTCGACAGAATCGTGGCTTCTGTTACCTTATATGCCTGTTCATGAGAAACAGCATGCATCAATCTGAGGTCGCAAGTTCGAGCCTTTGTAGGAAACCTGGCGAACCTCACAGTGTGCTTAGCCCACGCGCGATGTGGTTGCGCGGCACTGAAGCGTCGGTACTGCTTACCGGTATACTGCTGCTACCTTTTTAATACCAGCTTTTCTGCCGCCCGTTTCGCGTATCAGACAGAATGACTTATGATGCTGGCCAAGAACAGCAGCCACTTCCATATCCGACTTCGCGTTTGCATGTGGGTTGAAACCATAATATAAGCGCCTATCAAAGCAAGCTGATGTAAGGCCAACAATTTATGGGTTGCAAACTGGGGGGATAAAGATGAAGTGGGAGCGGGATGATAAGCATGAAAAAGCCCAAATTGGGGAATCAAAGGACAAGAGGCTTAAGCAGTAGCATCCAAATCCCTATCCGCCCTGCAGATGCAACAGACAAAGTGCCGTTAGTTATCCTCTGTGACTGCCAGAGCATCAAAGGATCTGGAGCTAAATCCTTGATATTGCGTGGGCAAGATATTATCAGGTTGCCCAGGCCTAGACAGCAGGACGATTGGGGTTATCAACCAATTTGAACACAAGGCAGCGGGGTTTGGTATTGGTCTACAGAGAGCGTTTTACGGAGTACATTGCTGCCTTCACTCCAACCCCCAAACTGGATGGCCAGGAGACTGAGTTTGTCTGGCCTCTAACCATTGACCAGTCTGGTATGAGCGGCCCTGACGGTGCAAAAAGCAACACTCAGCATAGCTCAATGGGTCGCTGAGGCACACACCACGTTAAGGTTCAGTTTCGTCTCCTGTCGTATGGCACTTCACTTTTGAGCTAACTAGTATCAAGCGTGGCAACCTGACCATTCGTCATGTCAGCAACGGCTGAGGAAGTTTGCGAGGACCAAGCAATGTGTTTCGCTTCAGGTGTACAAATTACTCTTGGGTCCTAAGAATATAGAAGGTGTGACTTGGACTTCCACAGTGAGTTCGGGTTATCTAGCAAACTTTTGTAGAAGAGCGTGTTAAAAGCGTTTTTCAATCCTCGACCCCATACCACTAGATAGGATTCACAAGAACTACTTTTATATCTTTTATCCCACTTTCTGAACCGGATGAAATGGGGTAGCACCCGGTGGGAAGAGTAGGTAGCTTCCGCCCAGAACAGGACTGTATAGGACATATATTCACTCTGCGACAGGTGCTAGAGCAGCGCCACTTACTGCAGGCCGACAATAGCTGTGTTCTTGGAGTGCTTTTGACAGTTGAGCGATGCATTCTGTTCGCAATACTTGTGTCTAAATGTGTTCCCATGAGATCTGGGATCATTTTACGTGCTCTATATTCAAATATGACAGGCCGCATCAGGGTCTACAGTGATTTGTCGGGTGGCTTTCCGACAAGTGACCTTTGTCAAAGTTGTCCAATTTCCCCTTTCTTGTTCAACTTCCTTTTGGACTCCACCATGGAATGTTCCCTTGCAGAGCCTCACGATGCAGACGTTGACAGGATGCCTGCTGAATACCTAGCTGCTCTTGATTATGCGGACGATATTGTCTTGCTTTTTAATGATGTTTCGGCGACGTAATCAACCCTGAATAGCCTCCCTTGTGTGGTCACATCATTTGGCGTGTTCCTCGTACGTT